CGCCCACCTGGCTCTGCACCCACTCGGCGGCGCGGCGGATGCTGTCGGTCCGGGTGACATCCAGCAGGGTGGTGCTGAGGTTCGGGGCCCCGCGGAGGCTCTCGGCGCCCTGCGGGGTCAGGCAGGCGGCCAGCACGCGGTAGCCGCGCCGGGCGAGCCGCCGGGCCAGCAGGTTGCCGAAGCCGCTGTCGCAGCCCGTGATGAAGACGTGCTTGTCGCTCACCGTGGGCAGCGTGCGGCGGTCCCGCAGCAGCCAGCCCAGAGCCCAGGCCAGGGCCAGCAGCGCCAGGTACAGCCACATGGCCTGGGGGGGACGGGGGGCGTGTGGGACCACCGCCGGGACCCCCAGGGAGACCCCCACCCTGTGTGAACCCTGCCCTGTGTGACCCTGCCAGCGCCAGGTACAGCCACATGGCCTGGGGGGGGACGGGGGGCGTGTGGGACCCCCGCCCTGTGGGACCCCCAACCTGCCTGACCCCCACCGGGACCCAGAGAGAGACCCCCACCCTGTGTGATCCAGGGCCAGCAGCGCCAGGTACAGCCACATGGCCTGGGGGGGACGGGGGGCGTGTGGGACCCCCGCCGGGACCCCCAGAGAGACCCCCACCCTGCCAGAACCCCANGGGACCCCCGCCGGGACCCCCAGAGAGACCCCCACCCTGCCAGAACCCCATCCTGTGGGACCCCCACCCTGCCTGACCCCCATCCTGTGGGACCCTGCCAGCGCCAGGTACAGCCACATGGTCTGGGGGGGACGGGGGGCGTGTGGGACCCCCACCCTGTGTGAACCCTGCCCTGTGGGACCCTGCCGGGGCCAGGTACAGCCACATGGCCTGGGGGGGACGGGGGGCGTGTGGGACCCCCAGCGGGACCCCCACCCTGTGTGAACCCTGCCCTGTGTGACCCTGCCAGCGCCAGGTACAGCCACATGGCCTGGGGGGGACGGGGGCGTGTGGGACCCCCGCCCTGTGGGACCCCCACCCTGCCAGACCCCCGCCAGGACCCCCAGGGAGACCCCCACCCTCTGTGAACCCCGCCCTGTGGGACCCCCACCCTGTGTGCCCCTGCCAGGGCCAGCAGCGCCAGGTACAGGCACATGGCCTGGGGGGACGGGGGGCGTGTGGGACCCCCGCCCTGTGGGACCCCCACCCTGCCAGAACCCCATCCTGTGGGACCCTGCCAGGGCCAGCAGTGCCAGGTACAGCCACATGGCCTGGGGGGGACGGGGGGCGTGTGGGACCCCCGCCCTGTGGGACCCCCAGCCCCCCACCCTGCCCAGAGCACGGGGGTCTCTCCACCCGCGGGCAGAGCGGCCACCCGGGACTGACCCCGGCCAGCTCCGGTCACTCGGGACTGACCCCCCGGCCACTCGGGACTGACCCGGGCCAGCTCCGGCCACCCGGGACTGACCCCGGCCAGCTCCGGTCACTCGGGACTGACCCCCCGGTCACCCGGGACTGACCCCGGCCGGCTCCGGTCACTCGGGACTGACCCCCTGGCCACTCGGGACTGACCCGGGCCAGCTCCGGCCACCCGGGACTGACCCCTCCCCGGCCACTCGGGACTGACCCCGGCCAGCTCCGCCTCCGCTGTCCCCACCTTTGGGGGTCTCTGCTCTCTCGGGGTGGGTGGGGGGCACCCCAAAGCCCCTCCTGGGACCCCCCCGGCCCCGCCGCCGCCGCCGCTCGGGCCGGGCCGTGCCGGGCCAAGCCGGGATTACCGGGGCCGTGCGTCACCGGCCGGGCGGGGGGGGGGCGGGGGGTCCTCTCGGGGCCGCTCCCCCCCTCCAGCGGCAGCCGCGACCCCCGACGGGACCCCCGGGACCCTCGGCGGGACCCCCGGCCCTGGGCGGGACCCCCGGAACCCCCGGGACCCCCGGCCCTGGGCGGGACCCCCGGGACCCTCGGCGGGACCCCCGGCCCTGGGCGGGACCCCCGGGACCCCCAGCCCTGGGCGGGAGCCCCGGCGGGACCCCCGGCCCTGGGCAGGACCCCCGGGACCCCCCAGCCCTGGGCAGGACCCCCGGAAGCCCCGGGACCCCTCGGGACCCCCGGGACCCCTCGGGACCCCCGGCCCTGGGCGGGAGCCCCGGCGGGACCCCCGGCCCTGGGCAGGACCCCCGGAACCCTTGGGACCCCCGACCCGGCTGCTCCCCCAGGGAGGGAGGAAGGGGGGTGTGCCCCCCGGCAGGGCCCCGGGACCCCCTCCGGGACCCCCATCCCGGGGTTTTGGGGTGTCAGGACCCCCATCCTGGGGGGTTTGGGGTTCAGGACCCCCATTAAGGAGATTTGGGGTCTCAGGGCCCCCATTAAGGAGATTTGGGGTGTCAGGACCCCCCCCCCAATGAGGATATTTGAGGTGTCAGGACCCCCACTGAAGGGTTTGGGGTGTCAGGATCCCGATCCGGGAGATTTGGGGTCTCAGGACCCCCATCCTGGGGGGGTTTGGGGTGTCAGGACCCCCATTGAGGGGGGTCCCCACGTCTATCTGGGGGGGGGGG